CCAGTATTTGAAGTATCTAAACTGATAATATTCCTTATTTAGGCATGAGTTAATTTCAGGACTTAAACAATGCAGTGTGATAACAGTCATTGTTTATGGAGGTTTTAAGTTCAACCATATGCTTACTGAATCTGCAGCATCTTAAGCTACAGCATTATAGTTAATTAATCTTGTTAGCTTCATTGTGATGTAACAGCACATTCTTATTACCTTATTTAGCTTTTTATTCTCAGACGACGTTTTTGTTGAAGTTTTTATTATACCACCTAAACACGTGTGTTACCGAAACTGTCCGCAGTCTTCAACAAAACTTTGTTTGAAAGGATATAAATATAAATGTACATATGTTTAAATTTATCCTTCTTACATATGATGTGTATGGATGTACGTATTGGTGTATAATATTATCCTAACCATTCACAGCATGGTGAGTATGCCCTGGAGAGGGTTGTTTTTAAACAGTCTTGTTTAGAGTTCAGAGTCCTAACAAGAAAAACCTACAAATTTTGAATCTATTGAAAACCTATTGAACTAGTTTGTTTGTTTGTAGTTATGCTCAAAGCTACACAATGGGCTATCTGTGCTCTGCCCACCACTAGTATCAAAACCCGGTTTCTAGCGTTGTAAGTCCGCAGACATACCGCTGTGCCACTTGGGGCCATATTGAACTAAACATGAAATTCAACTACTGTAAGAACGTTTTTAAAGCTCTTTGATTCTAAGGAAATTTTCACTTTTGTCCTCGTAAACTCATTTTTGATTAAATCGTATATTCATGTCAACAGTAAGATAAATGTTTATCTGTTTCAGATGGAACTAAAATGAGAAAATGATATTCGAACGACATAATATATATTTTCAAAACCAGCATAGTGTGTTTAGGAAAGTCTGCTGGTATCTTAGTAGATTTATTGCACTGTGTTCCTATTATCCGAAAAGACATTCTTGACGTCGTTCCCTGGATATTAAAGCAGATAACATGAAATATATCGTAAGTTTTCTTTCATCACGACTGCTTTCTTTTCTATTCAGAAGAGGTATAACCAGGCTTGAAGATTTTTGAAATTAAATGGATTCTCACCCAGACGTTGCGTTGCACAAACCTAAATTGTTAAACTCAGTAAATGATTGCATTGTGCATGACTTAGATCGGTGATTAGAAATGAGTTTCCTACTGGTTTTACAGATTTAGATTTTTATCCTTTCTGTGCCTGATAATATACCGTAAGAGTCTCAAACACATTCAAAAATGTTCTTGAGAATGTCTTGATAGACGAATAAATATTTTCTAGGTTGGAAAAAAGATTCTGAGGTCAAAAGCATCCCCAACGTTCTTCGGTAAACTAGTCAGATGCATTATTGCTAACACAACACAGCATCCTGCTAACCTTCTACTGAAGCAACTGCGATTAAAAAAATTCCTACCGTTACTGCCACTATTCAACTGAAGAATTTATCGCAGAAATGCTTAATTTTTAAAATTTAGAGATGGTAAATACTTTTATCTGTCATAAGTTGTTTTTGTAGATCACTTAATAAAAGAAAAATTAACCAGCGGTCATTAGAGTAAAATTCTAAGTTCATAAGAGCAAATTAGGTTTACTTGCTTTACGCCAACATTTCTCCGGCTGTGTCAACATTCTTTTAACTTATATCTCATTGATTATAGAACCTCCAATAGAGACGCTTTGAATTTGTCATTTTGAAGCATGAATCTTACAGTGACTTTGTGATTAGAATTTTCCATATGTTACACCATACAACAGTACATATCTTCCAATCATGAATTGTTTCTTATAATGTAAACAGTTTTAATTCCATTTAATGACAATGAATTATTTAACGTGTATATTAAGTCTTCTGAATTTTTAAACAAAATTATTTTTCACTGGGCTTTTCCTAAGGCTGCAAGATATTAAAAAGACTTAGTGCTCAAGTTTGAAAAGAATGTAAGGTTTAGCCATCTAACTCAAAAAAACAACAACAAAATTTTGAGTGAGGAGAATAGTTCGAGAAGATGGACTTGATTCAAAGAAGTTTTTTAAAGCCAGATGGAAATAATGTGTTCGTTCACTTAAAGGATTTTTAATTTTTTGTCTGCTAGTCGTTTAGTCGTTGTTTTTATACCCAGGGAGAAGCTCCTTTCTCACAAATCGCACTGTGTTATCCAGTGAGGCTGCCAGCTGGGAATGAATACGTAAGTCTACATGTAAGTGCTGTTGGTTTGAGGAAGCTAGTAGAAATATCTGAAACGACCAATCCCCGTACTCCTCACTAGATATTCTATTTTCAGTCAAATTAGTATCTCACGGCGCGAGTCACCTGACGTTAGCCCCCCCCCCTCCAGTGGCTCAGCGGCATGTCTGCGGACTTATAAAGCCTAAAAGTGGATTTCGATACTCGTGGTGGGCATAGCACAGATGGCCTCTTCTGTAGCTTTGTGCTCAACAACAAACAAATAAACACCTGACGTTAAGGGCAGTGAAAATGATTCGTGGCCGTGGACAAGAAAAATTTTCAGTTTCAGAAGACTTGTATTAACAAATCATAAACAAAAGAAAGATCCCTCCAATCCTTCTACTCCCCCCCCCCCCTTACACACATCGGTCTGCTTTCTGAAGCTTTGGGTGCATCGACTCAGAAGGATACGTTGGCTGAGGTTTTAAACCTTCTCCAATCAGAAAATATTCAAAGTTTGTTTCACAAATTTCGCAATAAGCCACATAAACGGCTATCTGCGCATATCTTGAGGAAAGCCAATTAGACAGCAACACATACCGCCAATTCTTGGGCTTCTCTCGTCTCATCAAAAAGTGAGATCTGGCTGTCACTCTTATAGCGCACTTTATAGCAAAATGCGGAGCGCGTTTTTGCAGCAACAGGCCGTGAATCGTGAATATTCTGATTCAAAGTCGAAGCACACAAACCATTAGGCCAGGTCTGTTAAACCACTGATAAAGTGTAGTCCTAATAATAAGGTCAAACAGAGATCAAAGTCTCTTGGAGCTAGTGACTTAAATGAGTATAAAATCCTGATCCATTCAATGAAGTGTTATCATTAGTAATAAAGAATTAACTGATTAATTGAAAATGTTATTGATTAATGTTCACAATTTTCCCAGCAAAGCATTGACTAAGCTGGATTGCTTGATTTAAATTATTACATGTTCTTTCATTAACCAATCTACAACAGTGAGAGTTAAGACAAAACCAATTTGTACTAGACCTCACTGGAAACTGTCAGTTTTGTATGATAGAAATATTTGTTTGATGTAGAAATATAAATTATTCAAATACTAATCTGCATTCTACTGTCAAAACACATTGAAATCGTTGTATATTACGTAGATAGCTGTTCTATTACATGGACAAACGAACATTGAAAATGTATTACTCATTTGGCGTTGATTAAAGCTTTTAATTCACCTTATGAACGTTTGTGATTTCGTATGTCTGCAAACTGTGATCTGTATTAATCCCACATGATAGGCTTCGTTTAATGCTAGCGTGTAATATGTGTTGATTATCAGAGTTAAAGCATGAAAGAGTCTAAACTGATTACTAAACATTGGTAACAGAGTTCTATGGGAAGCCTTTAATAACACAATTTTTTGGGGGGGCTATAAGGTTTAAATAGAATTATACTCTAATTGCACACGTCGTCCCCATCTATACAAATCTTGATCAACAAGCTTTCCAGACAGTGTATCGATCATATGGTGACACTGAGACCTTACCGCGTCAGAAGTCTAGCAAAATCAAATTGAATACTTTGAGCTGTGTCTGAGAAGATTGTCATTGAACGTAGCATTTTTCAAACAGCACCATCACTTAAACTAGTGGGCACACCATCAGAATGAGGTAGAATATCCGTTTATCACCAGTGTGATATCTCCAATCGCAAAGCGACTGTATCCTCTTTCAAACAATGATATAATTTAACAAATAAAGACGGTAGCTAATAAGACCAATGGGAAACTATGTTGATATTTTCAGGCTTATCATTGATACGTTACTTAATAAAGACTCTAGCAAAAAAAGGTAATCAGACCAATGAGAAAGATGTTGATACTTTCAGGCTTATCATTGATAAGTTACTTAATGAAGGCTCTAGCAGAAGAAGGTAATCAGACCAATGGGAAAGATGTTGATATTTTCATGTTTATCATTGATAAGTTACATAATAAATGCTCTTGCAGAAGAAGGTAATCAGACCAATGGGAAACTATGTTAATACTTTCAGGCTTATCATTGATAAGTTACTTATTGAAGGCTCTAGCAAAAGAAAGTATTTCTAAGCAAAAAAAAAACAGGTTCCAACCAAGAGATTCAAACATCATCTGGATCTGGGATGCTGTTACTTTGCAAACGTCATAACGCATAGCAGGTTTTGTTTCTTTGATTATAGCCTTCCTTCATAATGCCTCCCCCCCCCCAGTGGCACAGCGGTATGTCTGCGGACTTACACGCTAGAATCCAGGTTTCGATACCCGTGGTGGGCAGAGAACAGATAGCCTATTGTGTAGCTTTGTGCTTAATTACAAACAAACAAACAAATCCTTCATAATAATCTGTCCTATTGAAAGACATTGTATTAATGAACGATCACATGAATACTAACCTATTGAAAGACACTGTGTTACTGAACAACCACATGAATGCTAACCTATTGAAAAACACTGTGTTACTGAACAACCACATGTATGCTAACCTACTGAAAAACACTATGTTACTGAACAATCACATGAATGCTAACCTACTGAAAAACACTATGTTACTGAACAATCACATGAATGCTAACCTACTGAAACTCAGTAGGCTATATTCTCGGCTCTGAGAACCAATCCATTATATTTATTGTTCTGTTAAGGTGATGTCTACTTCACTGTCACATTTTCTTAGTTTGTAGCACGAGTAGAGAAACTGTACTTACTTCTGTCAGCAGAACAGCATCAACATAATTTTTCTGTAGCTAAATGATTTTTTCTTTGTCTATCAAGGTTGCAAGCATAGGCAGTACGAAAGAAAAACCCAAGTTCGATAAGACCGGAAGAACCTTGCTGCGGATTGGACAGGCCATAAACATAGCAGTGGAGCGATTTGTGACAGTAGGGGAATATATAGCGGAAGACAACCCAGAAATCAAGGTGGACATGTTCGAAGCCTGTAAAGATGCTAGAGCTACAGGTATATTTTACTGTAACAGCTCAGCACATTATGAGAGGTTAACGTTTTTAGTGAAAACTGGGAAGTTGTATTCATTATTCAAAAATAAATAAATAAATAAAACTCGGCTTATTACTCCACGAAACATAACTGTTTTTATTTAAGCCAACGTTTTGCCATTACGTTTCATTAAGATTCTAACGAAACTTTGGCATAAATATAAACAGTTATACTTTTTGGGGTAATAGGCCTATTTTTATTTGTTTATTTTTAACTGAACCCATCATTATATTTTATATTTTGAGCCGAATATTTCTCAATACGGTAATGAACACTATGATTTACTAATACACTAATTAACAATATATATATATATAATTATTTTGTGATATGGTATTAAAGTTGAAATGACTTTTACAATAATAAATGAGAATTTTATTTAGCCCACAAATACCTTTTCTATTTCATACTACATTAAATTAAACCTGTATGTCTGGTCCCTAATCATTTCTAGGACTGCTGATCCTAACCTATTGTTTCGACCTGTGAAACCTATTTTGTTGTCATTGTATGAAAATTGCAACAATAAAATAATATTTGAAAAAAATTAGATATCGTCCAAACGATACTAAGCAACTTAAAATGCTTGAAATAAAACAAATTCAGAAAACATGCAAATAAACGTTAACTACAAAATTTAGATTCCTAGGTATAGTCTAATGAGTAAGGTAAATAGCACGTATTTGCAAGTTTAACTACACGATTTGAAATATCACAATCCCTTACATTCAGGACAAGTATTTAAACTGAATTAAAATACACTAACCAACGTCTAATTTTAGATGAACTGGCTTGGCCTGAAGGTTAAGATTTCGGGCTGTGTACCGAGAGATTCGAGATTCGAATACGCGAAATACTTCCAAATATGTCTCGCATTTCAGATGTGGGCGCGTTATAAAAGTGTCTGTTAGTCTCGTTATTCTGTTAAAAGTAGTCGCTTAAGCGGTGAATTCTCCTGAATAGCTGTTGTCCCTTTCTTTGGTTAGCTGTTATACACTAGGGACGGCTATGCCTGACACTAGGGGTCTCTCACCAGACCTTTCAGCCCATGTGTAGCATCAGTATTGGAAATATCAATTTGTAGAGATTTCGTTTATGAAAAAACACTACAAGTCGATTATAATGTACACGTTAAACACACGAAACATTAATTAGATACATATCCACGTTGAAATGAGTGTTATTTGTGATAGCCATCAACATTTTTAACAAACCCTCTGATTTATTATAGGAGGTTTTAGCGGGTTAAACTTCAAAAATTAAAAAAGAAAAAAATACCTAAAATCTGTGTGAAGTAACAAATATTTTCTGAAATCCTGATCCTACTTCAATACAGTTAAAAGTATGTCAATTTCATACTAAGCCTAATTTTAAATATCTACCTTTCAAACTTTCTTTCAAAAAGTATGCGTGGAAATCTTTCGGATACTCGGTAGTAATGTATTCATTTAATTTATAAGTTGCAGGCTCGGTAGTCTGATATAAGTTTGTTAAAACAAACTGGAATTGCTTTAAGCACATTATTAAAATTGATTTTTAGATATATTCATTATGGTGTCTTACAAAGCTTACAGTTCAGTCTATGCATATTTATATTATACCTTAAACCTACACAGCATTAGCAACAAAACGTTGGTAGAATGTTTAACGATTAACCTCAGTAACTCAAATTCAAAACCATTAGAATCAAACTGTTTTAATACGTCTAATGAACGTTAAAATACACAATCAACAGTTTTAATATTGAATATCAATAGTATTCACAAACATTTTTGTTAGACCGGCTAAAAGGACTAGTCGAAGCGCATGCGTGGTATGATAAATCTTTTCAGTTGTTCTAAACTGTTTTAAAATTTATCAGAAGCTCGTGCTTCTTAAACACTGAAGCTTTATGGGAACGGTGAGAATCAACTTATTTTGCTTTTCTCTTGATTCCCATAGTCTCATTGATAGAACAACTTTGTGAGGCCCAGCGAGGAGATCCATCCAATTCACGTCACTTTGTAGAGAAGACCCGGTTAGCGCGAGCAGCTCGAGGATTACTCTCATCAATTACCAGAGTGTTGATCCTGGCTGATACAGTTGTTGTCAAGCAACTACTTAGAACCAAAGATAGGGTTAGTTATATTTACGTGTGTTTGTGATATGTTTTGGTTTCAGTTTTAGTTCCTATCGGAAACTGAATGAATGTTTGTAGCTATTCTCGAATGAGAATGGTTTTCTTTCTGTCTTAATAAGAAGGTAATACATGTAAAATGCTTCTGCAGCGTAATTACTAAAAAAATTAACAATGATAAAATGGAAATTCGTTGAAAATTAACAGAAAGTAAGTCACACTTGTTAACACGTGTAACATTTCTTAACGTGTTTTGTTTTACATGGTTTCAGTTTATGTAACGTATGTAATGTTTACGTTTGTGACTGTTGTAAAAGCTGTAATATATTGACATTCTAACACTGATTGAAGTAGAGTTTTAATCTATAAATGTCAATAGAAATAAACGTTACCCATATTTCGAGTTTTCATTTCAAGTCTGTTATAATAAGAATTTTGTTTAGGTCCTCTTACTTTCTCTCTACATTAATGTATTATATAGGTGTCGATAAGCATGAACAGGCTAGAAAACGTTACCAACTTCACGGAGTTTGTGAAAGCCTTCAGTTTAATTGGAACAGAAATGGTTGAACTAGCATCTGTGATGGGGGATAGACAACACGTAAGTCCAACTTCGTTTACTCAGAAGAGCAGATATTGCTTAGATTAACGTCTTCATCTCCAGATGTCGCTTTAGGAGCTTTGATTTGCTAACCATCGCATGATGCACAGGTTCAGTTGTTGGTACTTTAGAATTTGTCCCACTCTGAACGGATCAATTTATTCGCTAAAGAACAGGTTAAAGATTTTTACTATTGAATAAAAAAAGAACGATTTGTAGAAAACAATAACGTTGATTTTTAATTTATTGAAAAAAAAAACAGTATCAAGGTTCTCTTAACTGAGTAGTTAGAGACAGGTAAAAAATATAGAGTATCGTTAATAAAAAGTAGTTACGGAGTTTATGAGTTAATGGAATAAGGTTACGTTACTTAATACAACTTTTATGAATGAACGTTAGGTTTAAGCCTTTTAATTAATAACACAAAACACTTCTGTGCGAGTTCTGTTATTTTGTTTAAAATTATACACTCTATAGATTGGGAGTTAACGTTTAAACTCAAAATAAAGTAAATGATCAACAGCAGAAAATATTTCCTAACGATTATTTAATGCAGTCATTATACTTGTTAAGTATGATATCGTCCACGCTTTGTGTTGGAGTGCTGGCACGGTGCCACAAAAATCATCATTGTTCAACAAGGAATGTTCCCTTCCAGTTCTAAGATCAATAAGATCCGTGTGATACTCCTACTGCTCTATTTTAGTCATCTAATTTCTTTTGTGTCCCTCATTATATATGTATTAAGCAGTAACTGAAAACCAATAACAACAAATTATGTCTTATCTGCTACAGAAGTGGACCGGAAACAAATAACATATAATTTGCACTTAAAATTAATACCTGGACTTTTTTTGCAACATGCTCTTAACAGCTGTGTAGAATCTTTGCATTATTAACATCCCATCAATCACTGCAAGGAGTATCGTACGTTCACAAAAGAGAACGTTTGTTTTAGCATATTTGTAGCATAACTTTTAGATCTTGGAAGAAAGCTATTGTTACAATCACAAATATTGTATTACTACGTCAAAAAGTCATGAAATATCTTCAAAATAATTCAATAACTCCCTGTTAACGTCAGCATTTAACTTTTACTTGTCATGAAATATCGTCAAAATAATTCAACAACTCCCTGTTAACGTCAGCGTTTAACTTTTACTTGTCATGAAATATCGTCAAAATAATTCAATAACTCCCTGCTAACGTCAGCGTTTAACTTTTACTTGTCATGAAATATCGTCAAAATAATTCAATAACTCCCTGCTAACGTCAGCGTTTAACTTTTACTTGTCATGAAATATCTTCAAAATAATTCAATAACTCCCTGCTAACGTCAGCGTTTAACTTTTACTTGTCATGAAATATCTTCAAAATAATTCAATAACTCCCTGCTAACGTCAGCGTTTAACTTTTACTTAAGCGTCGCATTATGGTTTGTAGCACTAAAAATATGATGCTTTCATAATTATTCGAAAGACTTCAACGAAGTTTCACTTTATCCGATATTATAATAAAGAAAAGGTAATTTGTTTACTTTCAATAAATGAATAATGAAAATTCAGTAGAACACTTATATATAGTTTAGAGATATATGTTTTGTTAGAAAAACAACATAGTTTAGAATATTATTCTGAATGCAAATAGCTATGCAGAAAAACACACCCAAAAATATGTCTTCTTAGCGTTCTTTCACATGGAAATATTTTTCTATAATAAATGACTTGTGGACGCTCGAACATATGATAAGAATGGTCAAAATATAGTAGCTTTTCAGTATATACATATGCTCAGATTATACCGATCTTTGTGTAATGATGTCTGGCTACTTATATACATAGGAACAAAGTAACGTGACTTGAATTATTTACTTAAACCGTCACACAAGTTTAGCCAGATAGTGATTGAATGCTTTTACTTACGAATGGAAACTCTGGACTAAAGCAATCTATGAACACTTTCATACATAGACCTGAGGGATATCTGAACAACCAGAAGAAACTGAGCTCTATGACTGCCAAATGTTTTTGCATATGCTCAGGTTATCCTAATACGTATTTTATCTTCAGATTAGTCTCCTCCGTATTTTATTCTAGGGTTAGCCTGATCCGTATTCCATCCTCAGGTTAGCTTGATCCGTATATAATTAATTATCAGTGTTCTTATTACCTTCGATTGCTCAGAACGGCCTGGACTAACTATTATTTGAACACTCTTTCATCTCCTAGAGGGAATCTAAATTCTGAATGCTCCTTTCTGTACAAAAATAACATCACATAAGGGGCTTTTAAGTTACTTAAACATATACTTTAGTGGCTTAAAACAATTAAGGTTCATCCCAAATAGAATCCGAATGTTTTAGCAACCTTTCAACTGACCTTATGGGCTGCTTGCTGAATGGCCTTACACATGCTTAGAACGACATGAATTAAATAAATTCTAAATTATATTTGAATAATTATTTAGCATTGACACAATAACAGTCTCTTAATAGTTTAATGGTTTTTAAATTAACCACCCTGACCTAAGTGGCTCGTAGATCCTTTCACATCTGGTCAGATAGGCTTAATCTAACTTGCCTCCAAATGCTCTCGTAGTTGTTTTTAAAATGGTTAATAAGTATCGAGAATAGGCATACTCTAGTGGTCTCTGTATGCTATTACGTATGATAAGTCTTTCCAAATTTTAAGTATTCACTCAGTCATTAGTTTCGTGATGACTTTAAACATACTTAGCATGACGCCACACCTGAGTAGTCACTGATTTCTTTTAGATATGACCAGAATAGGTATCTCTGAAAGTCAGCACGTATGTACGGTATTACTTAATAGTAGGGTTAGACAAGGATTCCAAATAATTCACGCGCCGAAAAACCACCCTATTGAATTTCTAAGCGAAAAACCGATCATTCAAAGTATTGGTTACGATATATTATGCGCATATATACCAATAATACGCTAAAAAAAAGGTCGCTAACATTTCCGGTATAACAATTCAAAAATTTCTAAAACAGCAACTTTTTCGTCTGCTACCTGCCTACCTGATCACGTCAGCGGGTCTAGCCCTAGACGGCTCGGACTACCGTTACAAGATTTCTCCAACTTACTTGACTGGTCTGTGGGTATCAACTTTTGATATTTCGATAAATATAAAAATTTTTTTTTTTATAAATGGTAGAAATATCATGAATGTACTTAAATATCTTTTCAACCCATTGGATGGCGCTACATATCAATGGATAGACACACGACAGTTTATAATGGTAAAATTATGTACTTTTTACGGGTATAACATAAAAAATAAACAAACAAGAGTATTAAAAATTATCAATTTTAAGATAAAGTAAAGATTTTACCACAAAAAATAATGAGACAAGAATTAAAACCACAATCACAAATTTTGCCTATTTTGTCAGCTTTATACACTTCTCTGTTGGCCAAAGTAAGGATTACGTTTTATAAATTTGTGATTGTGGTTTTAATTATTGTAAAAGTTATAGCTATCAGGGATATGGATATACTGAAATATTATAGATGTTGTGTCCATTCTATGGACATGTAAAAACTGGACAAATAAATAGGGAAAAAAATGAAAAGTAGGGATCGGAGGTTATTCGTAGGATTGCTATAAGAAGTATCCAAAACAAAATAAATGCTGCAATAAAAAGTACACAAACAAGTAAAGTGATACCAGTTGGATAGATTTTAAAACGATTTTCAATCCTTATTTTAGTTGGTAAATTTAGACTTCATTTAGATATACCGATCACAATGCTACTAAATTATATAATTAGAAAGATTTAATTCAATTAAAATTTATACAATTAATAAAAATAATATTTTGAGATAACATTCTCGTCTTGTATTACCTGTGGTTTCCTACACAGATTATTTGTCGCATATGATTCATTCTGATATATATATCGTTTCCAGTTATATTCTGATGTGTGTATATGGTTTTCAGGATGTCAGGGATGAGCGAAGACGTTCCCAGATGAAGGTAGCAAGACAAATTTTACTACGGTCAACAATGATGCTCCTAACATCATCTAAGGTGGGAAAATAATCTTTACAAATTATGAAATAAAATTCCAGAGTTCTGACACTGGAAAATTACTCGATCGTTTTTATATTCATAAATATTCTGTATTACCGTAAAGATACATTTTAGATTATTTTGAAACGTATTTTAACTCTTTTTAAAAGCAATTTACAAAGTTATTGATATTATGGCTGCATTTATATGGCCTCATTGTTGTTTAATTGATACTGACTGAATGAATTACTCATTAAATGCAAGAGAAACACATAGAGTTCACCGTGGGTGACATGGGAGGAGTCAAATCCAAACATTTCCCCCTATGTTACTATAAAGCTAAATACTGAGTTTGGTGACAATAGGTATAGTGTTTAGCCAGTTAAAAGCTGACATATACTCAGATTTTTGTTAAATAATGGTTTATATTGATACAGTTAAATTCAAATAAGGGGGCCCGGCATGGCCAGGTGGATAAGGCGCTCGACTCACAATCTGAGGGTCGCGGGTTCGAATCCGCATCCCACCAAGCATGCTCGCCCTTTCAGCCGTGGGGGCGTTATAATGTGACGGTCAATCCCACTATTCGTTGGTAAAAGAGTTGGCGGTGGGTGGTGATGACTGCTAAATTAGGGACGGCTAGCGCAGATAGCCCTCGTGTAGCTTTGCGCGAAATTCCAAAAACAAACAAACAAACAATTCAAATAAGTTCACAGTAATACTTGTTTTTATAATATCTGGAAATGTTTGGCTTTTATTTACCTTTTTTCTTCTAAATATACTGAATTTCTTATTGTTTGTTTCTTTCGGGTGTTTTCATAACCCTACTCAAGGGCTATATGCACTAGCTGTCTCCAAGTTTGAACTGATAGCCTAGAGAGAAAGATAGCTACTTAATAAACCCATCGACAACCTTTGGGCTGCTCTAATCGAATAGTAAGTTTTGATCGTGACTCTTTTAACACACCCACGAACAAAAAATTCGAAACTCAATTTTCCGGAAACAAAACGCTAACTTTGGATCCTAGGTTCACAGTTCGGTACGCTAACCAATGGACTAGGCCCAGTTCTTGCTAACCAATGGACTAGGCCCAGTCCTTTCCTATAACTTGTTTATCTTGAATAACTTTTACATGAGAAAGTTAGCAAAGGAAAAAGAATGCATGCAATAAGTTTAATTGATCTTAACTTTGAACCATTGAGTTTATAAGCAAAGTGATTTAATGAGACTTCATATTTTTTGAACGTAATGATAAAAATTTGATTTAATAAAACTTTGGTAAAAAGTTTGAATATAAAAACTAAGTTAGGGATTCACTTATCATTCTATAAAAAATAAGAAATCAAAAATTGTAGTTCGAAAACTTTACACATTAGGCTATCTGCTGTGTCCACCGCGGGGGAATCGAACTTCTCCAACAGAGCCACATTAGGCTATCTGCTGTGTCCACCGCGGGGGGAATCGAACTTCTCCAACAGAGCCACATTAGGCTATCTGCTGTGTCCACCGCGGGGGAATCGAACTTCTCCAACGGAGCCACATTAGGCTATCTGCTGTGTCCACCGCGGGGGAACCGAACTTCTCTAACAGAGTCACATTAGGCTATCTGCTGTGTCCACCGCGGGGGAATCGAACTTCTC